ACGAACTTTCCTGTCTCACCGTCACTGTCTGAGGCTGACAATCAGTTTGTGCTGGTTCCGTTTTTGCTTCAGCTTCGAAAATGACTTGTCTTTCTGGCGATGTTGAATCGACTATCTCCTCCAGTCGACGCCATTCTTCAGAGCATGGCCTCTTCTTCTGACTGGCGAGAGATGGAGTCCTGTCAAGAGTCCGACAGAACAGTGGGCAAGTGTTGCGGCGCCGCCATCGTCTGGAAACAGTGAGCATCACCAACGAGGCATGTCGTCTTCGTTGCACGTCCTGACAACTGTTGAATTGAGAATCGGTCTCGTCAACTTGTCGTTCGCTCGACGAAATGGCCGGCAGACTTGTTTTGCTGAGATGCGACGGCTCGTGCTCAGTAACGTCACTGGCGCTGCCTCTGAAAGCGCAGCCAGCGGTTTCCAACGATACAGGAGCCGTGACCAAAGAAGTCGCACAGAAACCAGAGGCGACGGAAGAGGCGGAGGCTGAAGAAAGCGATCCGCTGGCTCCAAACTGAGTCAACGAATTGTCGATGCACTAAAATGGAAAGAAATTACAATCCAGCATTATCAAGAAGCATAAGTTGTCAACCGAAAGGTAGACCATCTATCGTCAAACGTCATTTGGTTGCCAGTTTGTTTTAAGGACCGACAAACTCCGAGTGGATCCTAGAGTTTACTTGGCTCGACTGCTTCAGAGATTGTCGAACAACATTTCTCAATTGCAAAGGCTCGATTTTATGCAAACGACAGTTGAAAAGAGACGATCTTATTGTAAGAGATTGCAAACAAGTGGCAGGGCACATTTAGCCGGTACATTCTGTATATGCCTTAACGATTTACTCTTAAAAGCAAAAGCAATACAACCGAAAACTGTATGTCTTTCCTCAAACCGATCAACAGCTAATTGCATATCGACTTCCACATTTCCTCAAATTTAGCCATTTACTCATTTTAACGAATAAATTTGGTTTTTAGTCCTCTAAACTTCGTCAAAACCACTTATTGACACTTAATATAGGAGAAATTTAGAATGACTCTGTTGTTTACGATCGTCTCCTCCGATAGTAACTTTGTTGAGCTTACTTCCATTTTGAGTGAAATTGTTGCGTGAAGAGATT